ACTAGGGTTGTGACGGTGAGGAAATTTTCCCACCGGTTAATCGACGTGTGACAACACCGGTAATACCGGTATCACCGCGGGGGCGGGCGTTCCCTCTTTTCCTCGCTTTCCTTCACTTTTAAATAGCTTGTAAAAGCGGCGAGCGCATTTTACTTTCAATTTCAAATTGCGGCAATTCGGCGTAAAGCAATTGTTCGTTTCTAGTTCGTTTGAATTTTCCCTCTTTTCCTCGCTTTCCGTCGCTTTTAAATAGCTTGAAAGCGCCGTGCGCATTTTACTTTCACTTTTGAATTAGCGGCAGTTAGGCGTCAATTGCTTGAATGCAACAACAAAATACAACGTCAAATCTTCTTGTCAGTCAGCTCGACTCACTCTCCTCACTGGAGAAATGAAATCTGATCTGTGATGCGACTGTCGTTCGGCACGCTGCATTGAGCAGCCGCATTCAGTTTTTAATTGTAGTGTCTGTTCTTTTACTGAACTAAATTGTTTTTATTTCTATAAAAAAATCTAAACGACGGTGGGGGTCGGTGCCGCGGTGGGCAAGTGACATAACCGGTGTTGCGGCTTAACAACGGTATCACCGTCAACACCGTCTATCGCGGCAAGCCTAGTTCAAACTGAAAAATAAATTAAAGCTCTAGAGAAATATAACAAAAAAAAAAGATTAATAAAAAATGACAAGCATAAGCATAAAAATTACTATAATAAAAAATGACAAGCATAAGCATAAAAATTACTAAAAGTTAAAATGAAACTTGAAAATATGAATAAATACACATATTGAAAATACTAAAATAACACCTTTTTACTTGAAGGAACACAAAATATGTTTTGAAGAATGTTCACACTTTTTTTCCCCCTATACAATTAAGCCACACAGTGCTGTTAAATGCCAAATACATAAAAATACATAAAATATTCCAATAAATTTAAAAATTTATTTTTTATTATTATTAGCTGAGAGACTGAAAAAAAGAAAGGCAGAAGGGACAATAGGTGAAGGGGCAATTTTCAGCAAATAATTACATAAAATAAAATAAAAAGCTATTTTATGGCTTCACAAGGGTGCTTTTAAGGGTTTGGGACCACATGAGGCTCAGTAATCAATGACAAAGTTGAAATTTTTGGGTGAAATCCTGCTTTAAACCAAACATCACACATAGCAGATGTCATGAATGAGATCTGGAGGGCAAATGTTCTTTGTCTATGAGCGATAGTTATTGAACGGCTGATTAAGTAATCACATGATTTAGTATTATCAGCTGACCCTGATGGACAAAGCCTGACATGGACAAATCCCTCAAAAGCCCAGCGTACTGTATGTCCTTTTAAGCGCATATATGCGTGTGCATGATTAAGCCACTGTCTGGAACCTGACTTTGAGGAGCATCATGGTTATTCTCATTTACTGATGTTGTTGACCAAGACCAGTAATTAAAGATTCACCCAATGTGCCAACCCAGAAGATCAGCTCAATATACATGACAAGCTACAGGTTTATAACTCACACAGATGAGCATGCTTATTGTCCTTATTGCTCACAATGATGATCTGATGCATATACAACCCATTGGACCCAAACTTCTCAATGTGCATCTTTCCATCTCTTTCACACATATACAAACACAAAACGGGGGCAACAACATGATCTAGCCAGATATGACCTACTTTCTATTCTCCCACAATCCCCTTTGTTCCCCAGCAGCACCCTCTTTTAAGAGAGAAAGATAAGAGAGAGAAATGGGGTAGGAGGGTAGTAACAAAGACTAACTACCCAATTCCACAAGATGCACTCTGGGACACTCAAAAAGCAAGCTCAATCACTCCAAAACTACTGTGGTCAGCCAAAACTGACAGTGGTTGACTGTACATAATGCATGAATTTCACGTTTCACTTTGCTCAAAATAACTCTGTTTAATATGCACATTGCACAAAAAAATTGAGCGTTAATATCTTTAATTTTTAATTTACTAGAACAGCGAATCAGAGAGGGCAACTAATGTAATTAATATTACAATTTATATTTAAATATTTATATAGAATTAAACATATAACACAAGATTTACTAACTGTTAATATAAAACAATTAATAAATACAAATATAAAGTTTTATCTAAATAAATGCAATTACAATTATTAACTGTCCTCTATCTCTCTCTCTTTATTGGTTTTGCTAAACTTACTGTAATTATTAAATGAGTGCTTTAGCTGTAAAGTTAGCGTGTTCTCATCTGGTGTAAAGTAACTGGGCCAAGTGATGTGCCAGAAGCCAAATGCCTGGAGTATTCTTCCTCCTGTATGGGTTTACACCCTTCCTAATTTAGCATCACTGATCCACACCTCATCCCTCTATAGCTGGCAAAGAGAGTTTTACTTCAGCTGCAGATAGCTAGAGATAGAAAGACAGAAATGTATGCATGCTTGCACTGGTGCACTCATTCATGCACAGATGCATTCATGTGTGCATTCACTCCTTTTTGTATAAAAGACAAGGTGAATATGAAGTCTGGAATTATGAAAGAGAGATTGTGTTCGGATTGTATACTGGCATATTGCCTCTGTATACTGCATACAGCTTACTATTATTAAAAATAGTATGTGAAATCTTTTAAACAGAAAGTTTTAAACAGTAGTATGTGACATTGTTTGGCCACAACAATTGGGCAGTGGCAAAAATAATATATTTGACAATATATAAATAATAATATAAATATATATAAATAATATGAAATAAAATGTAAAAAATGCACAATGTAATCATGCAAGCAGCTTTTTTAAAATTCAGAAATTACTTTATAAAAGCACAACAAGTGTATTTTGTGATTTCAATGAAGTCTCTTATTGTCTAAATCAAACCCTGTGAAGTGGCCACAATTTCCACCTCCATAGCAGAGGACAAACTACATCTCCTGCTGAACAAGTGTTATGCAGCAGAAAGAAAGGGATGCGAGAGGAGAGGAAGACACTGATGAATCCAATTTAACCTGACAGAAAAGAGGATGTGCCACTGCAAATGTCAGAGGCAAACCAGAGGAATAAAGGGAAAGGTGTGAGGAGGAAATGTTAGATTAGTCTTGTAGTAATTGTCAGGACAGTGTGTTACAGAAATAGATAATGACAGTCAAAGGATGAAAAGGAGATGAGAGTATATCTAGCAAAGATAAGTGCTGGAAATGCAGAGAATGAAAGCTGAAGATGACATTGAAAGAGATAAAGGGAGAACATGAGTACATTTGGGAGGGAGAGTGAGAGAGAACGACAGCGTGGGAGAGGAAGGAGAAGGAGGGCGAACGTCACTCATTCTTACCTGTATGTGTTCGGTAGAGCTGCTGCTGAGCTCATCTCCAGATTCAGAGTCATTTCTCATTTTCTCCAACCCATCTGCTGGTGACACGCTTCCGTCCGTGTCCACCGACAACCCGCCTGGGAGTTTCCCCTGGCAACCATGCTCTCGTGGAGGGGATTCCGCTCGTCCTTCTGGAAGTGTGGGGTTGCCATGGTGATAGTTATGATGGTTGTTGTTGTTAAGCAGAGTGAGCTCGGCAACAACGCTCTTCATCCCCGAGTTCTGATTGGTGTCCCGCAACAACAAAGGCGAGGTCTGTTGACCTGGTAACGGGGAAGGCGTCGTCGAGGGAGATGGCCTGCCGAAGCTGGACCTTTCCGTAGGAGCGCGTTGGTTGAGATTTTCGTTCGACGATCGGCACTGGCCGATTTCAAGAACGTTGGGGGGCTTTGCGCGAGGTTTGGGTGGTGGCATAAGGGCGCGCCGCACCTCTCGGACGTACTGAGCGGGGACGTAAAACGCCTTGGTGCCCTCCTCCCGACGAACTTGCCACCAGTCCTCATTGGTTTTGCGAACCAACATGTAGCATTCGCCCTGCCGTATGGAGATGAGTCTATCTTTCGCCTTGTACTCATAATCGTACTCCACCTCAATATATACCTGCCCCGGGGCGATGGAAAAATCACAGCGGCCATCCCGTTCCGTCATGGCGCAATCTATCCGTGCGTTAGTCAGAAGACAGACTGTAAGTGGATCTACATCTCTTGCTGTGTCTGCACAACTGCAAAAAAAGAGAACGAGATTGTTAGCACATACTTTGAAAAGAGACGCGTGTTGAAAACTGTGATATTAATCAATACCAACCATGACAGATTGGATCTGATGGAAATGAATACAATCACACATACACACTTAAAAATAAAAGTGCTACTGTACTTTCCAGCATCGAGGGCAGCCGCATGGTAACCCAATCATGCGTGAGGACGCCATGGCAACCAACATATCAGTAATCCAATGATCAAATTACAATGACAGGTCTCAAGAAGCACAACCACGCTCACTCACACGCACAGATCATTGAGTGAACTGAGTGATATTTTCCAGAGTATTGCCTGCAGATGCCTTTCTACTGTCAGCATGCATCTGTTTGGCCCTATATCCCTCTCTCACATGTACACAATCCCCCTTAAGCATTCTTAGGTTAAATATACACTGTCATGTTCACACATGGTGCTTAAAGATGATGGGATTGTGACAGCCTTAAGCCAGACATAAAGAGTGGTTGAATTCACTCTTCCTTTTATTTCCCCTTTGTTCTTTCAGCCCACTCTGACGTTCTGATGCATACTATGCACAAAACGGTAACCACTTTAAGATCTGGCCAGCAGTAATCAGATTGGCTTGATTTTCACGCTACTTCTGATAGATGGGGTGCAAAGGTCTTTGAAACATACCATTTAAAAGTTTAGTCTACATTAAACACTATTGTTAAAAAGTTTAGGGTGTCACATTAAATTGATCAAGTGTGACAATGAAGTATTTTACTGAAAAAAAAATCTATTTCAAATGAATGCTGTTCTTTTGTTCTACTCAAAGAATCCTTGAAAAAAATGCATCACAGTTTCCACGAATATTAGCAGCACAACAGTTTTCAACAGTGATAATAATAAGAAATGTTTCTTTAACGCCAAATCAGCATATTATAATTATTTCTGAAGGATTGTGTGACACCGAAGACTGGGGTAATGATGCTGAAAAATCATGTTTTGCCATCACAGGAATAAATTACACTTTACAGTATATTAAAATAGAAAATGGTTATTTTAAATTGTAACAATAGCCTATTTCACAATATGACTGTTATTTAGTATTTTAGATCAAATAAATGCAGCCTAGATGTGCATAAGAAACTTCTAAGATACTTGAACTACCGATCAAAGTTTGGGGTTGGTCTTGAGTGCAAAAATAATCAAAACCCCAAACTTTGAACGGTAGTGTATTTCAAAAGATTGATAGAGATTACTTTACTTTTTAATTTATTTAGCTAAAATAGTAAAACATTTTAAACATTGACCAAACATGAAAACAATTATCAGACTTTTTGCCAATAGTGAAGTTTGGTTACGGGAGACTAACATTTTAAAGACACCCCAAAAAAGCCGCACACACTCTTAGTTAAGCTATGACACCCTCCCTACTTATAGCTAGTTAATCCACATAGACCTAGTCTGTCCTTAAACGGTCAGTCAATGAAGCTGAAGGGTTTACTGAACATTTCGAAATAGCAACAAATATTATACAACCTGCTCAGTGAGTGGGAAGCCATGCGGTGCTGTCAAATTTTAGATGTGGATTTGATGTGACATAAGGCACCTCTCAAAATAGCCATGGAGGAGAGGAACTGACAGAGGTTACTAAGACTGAATGAAACTGAATACTGTAACCAGACACAGACTGCACTGATCCCTCCACTGAGAAAACCTTGCACTGTTGAGTCAGGCACAGAGCCACATTCAAACAATTTACTACTAGCAATGCAGTTTGTTTTATATTGTTTTGCTCATCTTTTCTAAAATATTAGCTACTATCTTCCTGATCATGTGCAGCAGGACACAGCTGGCTTTTGTCAATAAGCTTGCGCTTCATTTTCATTCTTGACCAAGCTTAGAATTTATGAACTTCAAAGAGGTCAACTTTTTTCCCTCTATCTGTTGCAAATTCTTTAACAAGCTATCAAACTTACATACAAAATAATGATACATCAACACTGAGCCAGTCAAAGGGACTTCGTCATTATAAGAATAAACCATTCAACACATTACTAAAACACTAGTGTCCCCATCCTTAATGAGAAAGACACATGATGAAACGGCAGCCTGTTGCTTAAAACAAAGACGTTTCTCTCCATTCGAGCTCATCAGCAACCACACATCTCTTTACTAGACAAGACAGTTGACCCAGCATTGATTTAACCAGTATGGAGCTGAAGGCAATCTACTCTCCCTCTGTCTTCACATTCTGCACTAAAGACTCGTGCCAGCCTTGGCAGCAACTTCAAACTCTCCCATCTTTTCATTTCATACATGCTTCATCAAGCCCTACCACAGGCACTATACGGAGGAACAAACTGCAAGATCTAGAAGGGAATTGGATTAAAATAAACACTAAATACCACACACAAAAAACAAAAGACTACTGAAAAGCATGACTGGTAAAGTGGAGCTGGTTAACACACTGTGGATTGCAGGTTACTTTGAGCCATTCACACAGTTTTTGCATTCCACTGCTTTTCCACTACTTGCGCTAGACAGACATCTTTGACTGTTGCACTCGCACCTTGCGTATTTTGCAGCGCCTTGAAGTCGCTCTAAAAAACACATTCTAATTAAGATAACTTTTACAAAATGCGTCAAATTAGACGAATAGACTTTGCAGTTCTTTTATTCTGCTGCCCTGCGTCACGTTTTAAGTGCAAAAATCTCCTGTGTGAATGGTCACTTATTGTGAAATGATACTGTAAGGGAAACATGCCAAAGTGAACTCAGAACATTCAGTACCAAACTATTGAACTGAAGTTATTCTGTAAGAGACAGAGAGAGAGGTTCTGTAAAACAGCTATTAATAAACCACAACAGAAACAAAAAACAACTGGTTTTCTTAACAAATAATGCCCGGTCGAAAGGTTCGTGGAGCTGTGGCAACAGTACTCCTGCCTGTATGATGTGTCATCGAGGGACTACCACGACAGAACAAAGAAAGAAAAATGCTGGCGAACTATAGCGGAAGTGCTTCAGCAATGTTTACACTCTTGTTTTCGGAAGTCAGTCGCTAGTTCCGCCTTCTCGATGACATCACGCGCGTTGTTAAAGACGGCACGCGATGAATGGTCGGGAAGCAACTTGTAGTCTGGCATGTTTCTTGTCCACGACATGACAAGATTTTAGGAGTCAAAATCGTGTAATCTGACACAGTGACTATCGTGAACGACAAAAATATTGTGTAGTCTGAACCCGGCATAAGTCTCTGCTGATACAGTTCAAACGTTTGGGGTTGGTAAGGTTTTTTAATGAAAAAGTCTCTTACCAAGGCTGCATTTAGGCCTAGTTGATTAAAAATACATTAAAAACATTAATATTGACAAATATTATAACAATTTATAATAACTGTCTTCTATTTATTGTAATAGATTTTAAAATGAAATGTATTCCTGTGATGACAAAGCTGAATTTTCAGCATCATTACTCCAGTCTTCGGTGTCACACAATCCTTCAGAAATCATTCTAATATGCTGATTTGGCATTCAAGAAACATTTCTTATTATTATCTTTACTAAAAAGGGTGCTGCTTGATATTTTTGTGGAAATAGTAACCCACCACCCTAATACCAAAGTTTACAATAAGCCTGTCTATCTGCCTACTAAAATACCCCTTTCCTCTCTAGACACCACAAACCATACCCTAAGCTAAACATAGTCTACCTTCTCCCTCTGCCAATAACATTTGCACACAGGATCCACAGGAGTCATTCACATTTGAAAGCTTGGGTTGCACTGTTATCACAAAGGAAGTCGGAGGAATAACAGCCTTCAATGATTTCTGATGAATAAGGGAAACAATTACACTGGAAAAAGAAACATTATTATTTACACACCATAGAGAGGAGTATCACAGGAGAAAACTCTGATGGCAGCTTTCCACCAGACAGCTTGAGGCAACTCTTAGCAACACTTTTTAAAGAGTAAAGCACATATTCATTAAAGTGAGCAAACAGACTAATTCAATCGAAAAACTAGCACACAAGGATTTTAAATCTACCATGTGGCTCCCATTTGGGGACTTGACTGCGAACCAAAGTGGAGCTTCTATAAACAAGAAGCAGATGGAAGGGCTCCCCTGGGTGTGAGTGCAGTGTCACTGTGGTCAGTGTGTAAAGAAATTTCTACCAACTTTTCTGCAAGATAAGTGAGACTGTCACTCCAACAGAAATCCCATATCATTTTGCAGGAGGAACTTGTAATTTCCACTTAGTTTGACTGAATCTCATAGTGCATCAATATATACCGGGAGAAAGTGTCTATGGTGTTTCACTGTCAAGCAACTCACAGTGAAACCCAGAGCGTCAAAGAGATTTACCATCAAGACCACCCATTACAAATGCAAATAATAATGCTAAAACAGTTAAAAGACACATTAAATGCAGCACTGTAGCCATTTCAAATACCAGTACTATAGAAAATTAACATTTGATGGCAGTTCTCTTTGAATTTAACCTTATTACTAATTTTTTCCCCCAACTTTAGGTTTCAATACTAAAGCTTGAAGAAAAAGGAATCAAATGTTAGACTAGACTAGAATCAAATACCATAAAAGCAGAGATTAATTTGATTTGCAAAATAGAGAAGATAAATGGGGATAAAGCAAATTTTAAGTCATAAACTTAAATCTCACTTTCCCTAAAAGAAGCTTGTAGTGTGACATTTACACACTGGAGTCTGGACATGATCAAATTAAGCACTGTTACACAGTGGTCTTGAATATTACATAACATTTAGCAGCACTAAAAGCCAACATGACCTACTTTCAAATCAGCAAGTTGTAAATTTACTAGAAAGGCAAACATCATGACGAGAGGTTCACAAAACACAACTACCTGTCTGTCTAAATTCGGAACCTGGTAAATTAACCCTGAGATTTTCAACGGTGTATATATATGGACATCTGGTCTAGACAGAAAACATTTTGAATCCCACAATCTGTGCTTGAGGGATCCTGAGATTGGCC